TCTCGGTTATTTAGCAAGCTGTACCATCGACCACAATGAATGCATCTTGTGCAAATGTTGGATCTGCGACAAAAAAAAAAAAAAAGCACTCGGTTGCGCCACCAAAGCTAACTTCTGAGGCGTAGTTAAGACGCGAAATTACAAAGTGATAATTAATCCTTTTCAGTCGGAGCACTCAGAGGTATGGATACCCAGTTTGTCATAATGGATAATTTATATAAATATATAATATCAATAAAAAAAAAAAAAAGACGTACGATCGACAAAGCGGACGAACGCTTGTGCCGGAAGATATTCGGCTCTCGATCGCAACACGGCAAAAATGTTTTGCCGGAAGATTCCCGCGGACGTCGATATGAAAAAGGATTAACTTTAAATCGCTCTAAGTAATTGTCACCGTTCCTTCGTTTGTCATTAAAGCAGTTATGTGGAAGAACGACGCGTGTATATGTATATACGTGGTGCAAACGCGAATTATATTCTTTGCTGTGTGTAGTGTTTACGACGGACTATATATTCCAACAAACAAAATCAAATTGCCAATCACACGACGGACGGTAGCGTCTATAATATACGGAAAATTCAGCGCGCGCGCGTGTGTGAATTCAGTTTCTCTACATGTATATTGTTATCGGAGTGTCGCGTGGGAAAGCAAACGATCGTTCGTTGTAATTGGAAGATTTCTCGTTTGCACCTAACTCGAGAATCTGATAATTATAGCTCGCACACCCGGATCGGGTATTAATGCGACACACGGCATATCGCGTCGCACGCATACGAATAATATTCTTCTTTTTTTTTACAGAACGTTTCTGTGTTTCTCTATTGTAAGATTTTGTTATTTATAAATACAACTATACGTAATAACAAGATAAAAATGTATATTTATCGTCTTGATTACTGTGTGTTGCGCGCAAACATTTTTACGATCGCAAATAATTAAATATGATATTAGCCATTACGCTTTTTTAAAAGCGGAAATTATATCTCGGTTTATTTACCTAATTTAATGTATTTTTTTAAATAAGAACAGCGAAATGGACAAAGTTTCTGATTTCTGATTTGTCGGAAAGAATTTTCATTAAGGATTTCTAGATACGCGTAGGAGGATGATTTCATCCGCGACGTAATACGGATTGACAGTGAACACTCCGAGACTGATAGCGCGCATTGTGCACGTTGTAATGAAACTCTAAAAGGATTACACTGAATTCTCTCTTTCGCGCAAAGCCGGTCAACAGATTATGTTCAACACTCGTTGCAAACAGGTCAAACGAGCTTTGATATTTCTTTCTGTGTATATGAAAATTCGACGTTGAATTATTTATATACATTACATTTCAATTTAAGTAAATTGTTTGGAATGCACCTCGAGATCTCACATTTTTAATAAAAAGAAATGCGAAATATGTATGCATATATATATATATGTATATAAACGCGTTAATTTATATAGATATTTCATCGAATTATACTTAATAATGGAACAATTTGTCAAACACGATATGCGAAATTAATTGAAAGTTTTGTTTAAAATGGATTTCGCATTATTTTGTGAAATATAACACAACTTTTATATAATTCTATCTTTCTCTCTCGAAATATTCGCGCAAATAGGTATCGCTCTCATTTCCATTGTGTTGTCTCATGACAGTATTATATTAATTACATAGTAATATTGGAAGTAAATTTTACGTAAAGTCAAATATCTCTGAAAACTATGTGTATATTGTGCAACATTTATTGTTATTGCAACATCTTTTTATTGAGAAAAAACTCAAACAATTTGTTGTGGATGTAATTAATATCATTGTACATGCCCGCTTATACGTCTCGTTCGTGGTGATCACTATTCTTGCGCAGATACACAGACGCAAAAGCGTCACTCATTGTATATCGGTATAGACTTGATTGAACGTTTTCTCAGTTTTCGCTCGTCGACCGAATTACCAGATATCGACTTTTGGAACTATCGGTTATCCGAGCTTTTTCCTAGATTGAATATTCAAATTAGTTGTTGCGTTCAAGCAGCAAGAAAATATATCGCTTTTCTCCTTAATTTCGAGTGTAATGTCACAGATACCGAGAGAGATAGAAGTATAAGAGTGCATTCACTACTACGGAAGAATGTTTTTGTTTTATCTCTTACCTCAGTATTTCTCTCTCGCTATCATCAAGAAACAAATTCATGTTTTTGTTGCATCTAATTAAGTGCTAATTATATATTAATTGTACTCCAATTTCGAATTTATTATCACATTTGTCATTAGGTCAGTACTTTTACTTTTTATAATCAAAATTAATATTTCTCAAATTGCGAGCAGAAAAGATGTACAAAAAATACGTACATAAAAAAATGTTTGTTAACAATAGCAAGGAGAAGAGTTATTATATGGTCAGCAAGAAAAAGCCAAACAGAAATCGTTCAACCTTTCAATTAAAAAAAAAGAAATTTAAAAAAAATATTGATGATTTTGCAAAGATATTCGATCTTAAAGTCGCGTTTGCCTCACAAACCCAATCTACAGTAATCGTAGATTTGTTTTTAGATTTACAAGCAAAAAGTTATAAAACGACCCTCGCTGTTAAATACATAAATAATTCAACGATATAATCTTTCTATTTTGCCAGCGAATAATTTATGTAAATGTAAATGTATTTACAAAATTAGTGCCCCTTTTTAATCTTGTCTCAGAATGATTAACAACAAACAACAATATTGTTATACATATATTAATGTATAAAATATTTGTGTATGAATTTGAAATCAATGTCTTTCCAAAATCAATTTTATTATTATTTGCATCGATATTATTTTAAACGGAATATCTTGATTTCAATTGTTATGTTATTGTCTAATTAACATATTGAGATTGTAATTATACGCTTCTCCGAGTTGATGTGTATACATTCATGAAAATCAATTTGTACATTTTATTCGATGTATATACAACGTAAAATAACTTACCTAACCTGTGTTGAAACTGTAGTTGTGTTTCTCTCGTGTTTGTCTCGTGTCGTAAACATCATTTAAGAGAGAGCTAATATCAAACTTGTTTTTCATCGGGAAATTCAAATCCACTTTGTTCTGTTCAGTTATAATATATTCTTGCTGGGGCGATATACAATATTGTGCGTCTTTGCTCAAGTTTTTTATTACAGTTCTGGAACATTTTAATAATTTGGATCAATATTCCGAGTTTTGATTGTAACGTGAAGAGTGGTTATTGCACACACGATTTTCCGTATACAATTTATATCTGCGAGGACGGTAACGCTCTTTCAACATGGCCGATAGAAAGGATTTGTATCTATCCGACGATTTGTACGACCCAGACGAGCTCTATCATGAATGCTTCTCTCCGACATGTGAGTCACCCGTTTCTGCGAGAAAATGTTTTTCTCCATCGACGATTGACTGTGCCTCGTCGTCGAAAATCGATTTCTTGCCTTGCGAATCGACGCCGAAAATTTCGAACAAAGTGTTTCTCAGTCGGGAGTGCAACGATAACAAGGAGAATGAATTGAAGGAAATGCTTATACAAGAACTCGACGAAGAAGACAAGAATGAATTTTCTGATAATAATTTGCGCGCGTTCGATCGAATGACTTCAGAGGAAGTGGATTTTACGCCACCGAGATATTGCAATAACGTGAGTCCTGCGATAGAGAAGCTTATTCGGATGATGAACACACCGAGCGCATCGATCGACCAGATACCAAAACAAGCCATTTATTCGCCTAACTGTTTCGACAGCAAGATGTTTAACGACGACTCCTATATCTTGAGTAAACAATGTTTCGATACCAGTTCTAGTCCGCAAACTCCTTCGAGAAAACGCAATTTATCTACTTTTATGTTGAAAATGACGCTGTCAAAAGACGTTGATATCTCGTTTCCACAAACTGTGCAAGAATCATCGTTGCCAGAATATGCTTCGCAAAAATTTATCGATACGCTTCCGGTCGAAAAAGAGTCGGTTCAAAATTCATCAAATTGCGAGGTAAAATGAAAACTTAATTGATCTATATAAATAATCAAAAACCAACCTCTCTCTTATATGAGATATTGTTTTCAGTAGGACGTTATTTATGTCTCTGAGATACACTTTGTGTTAATGACGTCGAACAAGAATCGTTGGAGAAGAGAAAATTTGTATCGACGAAAACGAAGAATGTCGAAAGACAGCGATAAAGATAGCGCTTTCGGTGAATTTACAGAATCTGATCAGGAGTAATTCAGATGGCATCATAAGAGAAGCCATCTATAAATTAACAAGCGAAATTATACACTAATTGCCCAGTCGATATATTCACGACATGTTTTTCCTTTTTATTTTAATTTTCTTACAAAATAATTAAATGATAAACGAAGAAATAAATCGCGATATATAGATAATTATACAAATAAATTATACAAATAGTTAATCACTTTTAATTAATCAGCTTATTTGTTATTAAGTTGATACTCATCATTAACATACGGATAATTTGCTCGAAAGTAATGTTGATTCTATAAATTATTTATCTTTATTACATGATATGTAAGTAATACGCAATCTTATTTTATTGAGTTTTTTTTAACATTTTATATATATATTAATTATTTTTATCTACTGATTTTGTGAATTGATTACTATAACATGAAAAATATAACAAAAATACTAAATTAAATTAATAAAAATAGAACAATTATTTTATATTCCGTGTATGTGTGTGTGTGTGTGCTCGCGCGCGCGTGAGATAGTTGTTTTTGTAGTATATATTTCTACAATTTCTCTCTATTACCACGTAAGGCAGTGTTTGTAAACCCCAACTTGTCGGATAGAATAACGTGTATACAATATTTATATCAACCAATCAGAAGAAATCGTTTGCTTCTTTCTTGTTATCCTGATTGGTTGATCAAAATCAATGTAACCTACAGATAAGATTAAGATTTTTCGAACTCAATGTATCGCGTTGAGCGCTTCTCTCACAGTCAGTCAAAATCCGTTCAATCGTCGAGCAATACGTGTCGTTTGCTTGCATTTGGTATTTATTTGTGTTAAGCAAAAATTGAGTTTTGTCACTTAGGAAGATAAAGTGTGTTATCACTTCTGCTACCTGAGAAGTCAATCTCTCTCTCTGTTTAATATCTTTAAAATTTTATCTGTTGTGTATATATCGGATATTCAAAGAGACGAAAGCAACCTTTTAAAACCGAAATCTTGAGATAAATCGAACAAAGGATGGAAAACACTTATTATTACTCAGCCGTAGCCGACATCCAAATGCTAAATGGGACAACAGTGCCCGATAGAGAAGTGTTGTCCAACGATTCGATCGATCGAAAAACGCGAAGCAACGGGAACCAGAATGTCGGTTCCGCCAAATCGGAAACAAAGATCGATAAAAGTTTCGAAATTGCCAAATCGAATCCTTCGGTCGCAACGACGTTAGTCGGCGATCCTAATTTCTTGAAAGACGGCGAGGTGTTTGAAACGGATACGTTCGACGATCGATACAGTAGAAATATCAAAAAAACGCAGAATTACATGGAAAAGTTATTGGGTAAAATGGAGGGAACTGTTCGAAATTCTTGGTCGATCTCCAAGATATTCGCGTCGCCGCAACGATCGAAGGAAATGAAAGAGAACAAGGAAACTAGCGGGAAAAGTAAGACGAAGGACGACGAGCACGCGGACACGCCGGATACTTTGTCCGCGCCGACGTTTACGTTGCGTTTAGGAACGTTCAGAGGAAATACGCGGATCCAGATACCCGATCGGGTTTTGTCAGGTAATGTGTTTTACCTTGGCAGAAACCATAGTCGATCGATGATCGTGGCGTGCCGCACGGTAATAACAACGATTTCAACCTTGAATGCCGTATGTTTTTGCATTGGTCGAACTCCGAGTGTGTTGTGCGAGATATTGCCGCGCGGTGTGCTTCGTTGTCGCCCACCTGTTACCCATTCGCGCAAATCGTTATCGATCTGAGAACAACATTATAGATGTTATTAACTGTAAACTTTTATTTCAGTATACCTAGTTAGTGAGATATATATATATATATATATATATATATATATATATATAATCCGTGTTAAAACAAAAAATACGATCGTGTTGATTTAAAATAGAAAACGAAAAGATTGAGGAAAAGAACAAATCTTTTTTCTTTGTAGGAGAAGAAATGTCAGTGATCGGTCATTAGAGACACGCAGTTTAAAATATACAATGTTTAAATTATACAATTTTCAATATATTACACGTATAAACTTTTGCCAAAATTGCGACACATGTAACTGACAAATTTCGAAACTTGTTACGTTACAGTGTGGTTTTATTACGACCGACAATAAAATTTTTTCGTGTTGAAGGACGAGGTTATTTTTTCAGCTGTGTCTTCGTCGGTGCAAACACTTGAGTAAATTTTGTTTTAAAGACGTTGGTTTGCGTGATAGGCGCGATTAATGACTTTAATCTGAATTGCGTAATCTCTTCACAAATGCCATAAACGAGCACATCGCTACACAGCATTACGCAATTGTTTGCGTAATTAGTCGAAATTAAAAAAACGTATCACAAACGCGTTTTCATCGTCTTTGTTGAACCCGTTTTTGAAGCTTTTTCGATTTGCTTGTTTTAAAATTGCGAAAACACACACCAGAAGGCGAATATAGCGGAGCAAATTGAACATGTTTCGCGGGGGCTTTTGTATTTACACTTTTTATAGCGGAGCGAGAAAATGAAAATACAAACTGTGTTCGCTACGTAGTTCTTCGCGAAAGAAAACTGTGATTTAAAGAGTGCGCGAGAAAACTCGCGAAGAAAACAAATGATAAATCATTTGTTTGGACGAGAAATAGCGAGAAAAAAAAACGAAATTACGCGAAATTATATCCTGGCGGTTCTTTCGTGTAACGTATACGTAATCGTTAATTCTTACAGAGAAGGGGAAGAGAGACATGACACTTTTCTCTTTCTCACTCTGCGCGTTGAGAGAGTTGTTCGATCAATATTTAGGCACAGTCGCGCACCGATTTATTTGCGCGACGAGTTCGCTTTGTGCAATGCCGCCGTATCTTGTAAAAACCGAAGATATTAATTGTTACATGAGATCACTTGTTTAATTGACGTAGTTTAGACAACATTCTTTACACGCGTTTATTCTAACGAAAAGAAATTGACTTTCTTGATGTTTTTAAAAGGCTCTAGATTTGTTAAGAAATTATTTAACCCTTTGTCTGCAGACTGGGTCTGCCAGACCCACTAAAAAGCAAATTGCGCATCGGCGTTTCTTAGAAAAAATTAGTTTTTTTTTTTAAACGCTTTTATCTTCGAAACTACTAGAGATTTTTTCAATTTATTTTTATGGTTTTTGTTTTTGTTTTTTTTTTTTATCTTAAAGTCGCATAGGGTCTTACAGACCCAGTCTGCAGTACTTGTAGGTTGTGTTTTACGTCTGCAGACGAAGGGTTAACGAAAACATATAAAAGTTTTGCGTTTATTTTTACATGTTTATACTCTTTTTGTCGTCAAATTCAACAACATTATACATGTTGTACACATCTAGTGCCTACACATGTGCTTCTTATGTTTCCGAAATTGTATCACATGTTTCTGATTTGTTTTGTCAATAGATGTCCCATTTCCACCGTCGCACAAAATGACAGTGGCAGAGGTTTTCGACGAGCGAACAGGATCTCCACGGCCGGAGGTTCTCAAGCAGCACTTTATCCTCGAAGGTAGAATCGACGAAGCCGCGGCTCTTCGCATAATCAACGAAGGTGCTGCTCTTTTACGCTCGGAGAAAACCATGATAGACATTGAGGCTCCGGTCACTGGTGAGTCGATCATAAAATTATATTTTATCTAACTTTGATTAGAAACTACACAGTTTATTATATATATATATATATATATATCATTCGTTCTCTAACTGTCCTCTCACATTTCTGATCGGTGGAAACAATCTTTTGACGAGAATTCATCGCGATCTGAATAACATGCGCATAACACTCCCTGATTTTGAACGAAATAACTGCATCGATTAATTACATGTAATATACGCAGTCTTTAATTTAAAAAATTGTGAAAATTTGATCCGTCATTTGCGTCTGTTACGAACGCGCTTGCTTTTATATGCGCGCTTCGTGATCAATTATCCTTGAATTAAGTTCGTCGCGACGGCCTTCTTTTGTGGCGTCCGCTGATTGTTCTGGAAGCGTGGAATAGGAGAACGCAATAAATCCCACCCTCTCGGCTACTCCGATCGATTCACTCTTATATTTCATTCTAATACCTCCTTTCACTGCTCTTCCTGCCGTCGTCATCTCTTTTACGCACGCATCTCATTGACAGTTATTACTTTTTCGCGTCGCAGCGATACAAGTTTCATTAGGCGGCGGTTAAATAGGCCACGCGTATTCCACGTTGCTCTTCCCGAAAAAAATTTCGTCTATGTATCAACGAGACTTTTTCTTGAAACGTTAAAGAAGATATATCCAATCGAAAGAAGAAAAGTGATATTCGCATAAATAAAATAATATTTTTTCAACGTCTGATTAACGGGATAATTTGTTCATTATTTCGAAAATCGATAATCGATCGAAAAATGCAGATTATCCCGCCTTTTCCTTCATTATTATTTATCTCGAGTTCAATGAAGATTAATTTTGACACTAACAATATTTTACCCGCGTTTAATTAATTTATAAATAAAAAGCGCTAACCTTTAACTCAGTCATGTATTGTTTGAAAAAATATATATTTTGTATTTTATCTTTCTTTCTTTCTCTCTTTTTTTATATATATGCAAACAATTATATATAACTTTCGATAACGTTTATCAAATTTCGTGTCACTTCTACACGTGCATTTGTGGCAGTTAAATGCTGTATATTTTCGCGCATATGTTAGTTGCATAGAATCGATGGCCAGCGAATCAGCTTGAGATTTATTTTCGTAGGTCGGCGACCGGGAATCGGTCATCTCTCCTCCTTTCCCTCCCATTGCGCTCGTTTCGCACGCTTTTTCACTCCTTCGGTGTTCGCCGTGCAATTCGTCGTCCGCGCGTCTGATGCATCCTCTCTCGCAACGCGCCGCCGTAATTCATCTTTCCATCCAACTGCAGTCCCCCGACCGCGCCATCTCCTCTGTCGTATCCGCGATGCGGATTCGCATTCGACAACCAGACGCCTGGTGCACCGCAATTTCTCTCTGTCGCGCCGTGTGCTCTTCTTTTTCATCCCTCTCTTCTCTCTGAGCGACACGTGTGCCAAAAGCGAGCGAGGACGAGCTGCGGCAGCTTGCGCGCACCAGTTATTATCTCCAACAAAGCAACCACGCGGAGAGGAGCACTTTCGTTTCATCAAAACGGATATATAGATCGCGTTTCGAAAATTTATGTAACTGATCTCTGAATTTATTGAGAATTTAGCGAAAGAGAAAATCACACACGGTCGATATGGCGCGGCGATACTCGCTCATGCGTCAAGCTTCATTTGTTTGATGAACCGTGACATGTGTGTGTGTGTGTGTGTGTACTGAAAAACATAGACGTTATAAGGAAAAAAAGACGCGTGTACGTTAATCCAATGGAAAATTAACTAACGTTATCACATATATTTTGCATGAAAGTGTGATATACAGTTTTCAAAATTTTTAAAATTGTTCGAAAAACAAGAAATCGTACATATAATATGTAACTTCTTATACATATTGTGTGTATGATTTATATATATACCATATTTTTATATAGTATATTTAATATTACATACATATGTATGTAATATAGTATATAATTAAATATAATATATAAAAATATGGTATTTGTATATATATAATATATATATATATAATAATATATATAATATATATATATATATACAATATTTTTTACGTAAAATAATCTTATTATATTTCAAATGAATTTTTTCTGAAATTTTAATAGTGTCACGTATTACCTCTCGCGCAATTAGCGAGCGGATCTAACGATTTTTATTAAGTGCGGCATTTCGGATTGAAGTCGAGGTGGGATCAAATTGCGCTTGGATAATTGGGAAGAGGGCAAAAGACACGTTGGAGTCTTCCTTTGAAGCGACCGGGTTTCTTCCGGCCGTACGGCTTCCCGACGCGTTTCTTTGATCGACGTAGGTATATAATCCTCGATTGTTCTCAATCACCAACCAGCTCGGTCCTTACACGAAATAGCAGCTTTGGCGAACGGGGACACACGGTAAATCGGATGACAGTAATTTGTGGCTGCTTAGATCTCTCGTTTCTCGCGCGCTTGTATTTTACCCTATTATTGTGTGTATCAGAAATCCATGTGTATCGCATATCATTGATTACTGAATTAGTGTTTTTCTCCGCAAAGAGCTTGAGGTTTTTTCGACACAATTTTGTCTTTGTGATGATTCCTTTGGGATTTAAATTGCAACACAGCGGTTTTGTCAGATCATTACTTCGGTCCAGTTAACTCAGATCAATTAATTAGTTAATGATAAAAATATTAATTTTTTGACTTATTTAACATAGTCGACGTAAACATCGCGCTGTCAAAATTTGACATACTTTTTTTTTTTGATATAATATAAATAATAATATATAAATTTAGAGATAGAAAACACACTAACGATAGTTCGGTAAAATCGGCTCTTAAATCCCGAGGTTTTTCCCAGCGTTACGCGAATCGCAGCTCGCTAAACGAACTTAGCGGATATTCAAATTAATGATAATGTCTTGCTCGAACGTAGTCAAACGGTGGTTTTTAGTCGGTGATTAGTGCGTTTCTTTACATTGTGAAGAAGTAAGCCATTTCCACGTCCATATTAGAGCGAAGTGACTCAGTTCAGAGTTTTTACGTTTAACTTTGCTCTTTCTGCTCGCTTTTTAAGCCCGCGTAATAAAACAGCGCGTTACGATAATCGCCTCGACATTTCGCACTAATATATCTTCTTCATTTTTTTTTCTTGCAATTTTTTTTATTCCGAGTTCTTTTGTTACGCACGGTCCATAAAGCTTCACTACCGTTTCTGTGGTGCTTGTGCGCTCGATGAAACAAAAAGAAAAAGTAACGGGGTTTTGCGATTAAAAAAATACTAATGCCGTAAGTCGGAGCTAACTTTTTCTATTGCTCTATCTCTTTACAATATATTTACAATATATTTACAATATATTTACAATATATTCAACTATTTTTCAAAATAACTCTCTTCTTTTTCTTACATTTCCACGCCAGTTCGATTACATCATATAAGCATATTGTATGTAGAGAAAGTCATTTACATTTAATGCGCTCGGTGCAAACCAATCTAACTTTCTCCATTCAAGAGTGTCCACTAGAGATGCAAGTATGAAAATCGTCCAAGTGATCGTCACAATTGGATTGCCTTATTTCGATTTCGCTTAGTGGAATGATCTCTGTAAGATGATTCTCATTTGCGTTAAGCAAGTGTCCTTGCACTTTAAATCTAATGCGTTTTTTTTTTGTAGCAAATAAAATCTCGATGTTTTTAGAGAGGGAGAGAGAGAAAGAGAGAAGTCGACTCTCGAACACTTGTGTTCGTCGCAACTATATGCAAACTCTTGTTTGTAGTTGGCGGATGAGAGAGATCCACTTTGTTATGAACACGCGCATGTCGATTTCGCGTTATTGAAAAAAAACTTGTGAGCAATTAAGATATTTATCGATATCAATTCGGAGAATTAACGTATGCGTAAATATTGTTTTTATTTTCGTATATAATCGCGCGAAAGCTGAACTGTTGGCGCGAAGTTCGGAACGCTGAAACGGTAGTTATTATCTACCGGTGCGCGCTATCTTAATTGTTTTCCTGTCATGTTGCGGTAAAATTGATACCAAGCCGGAAACATGATTGCGCTAGTGTCGGGTCGTATACCAAAACCCCAGACCCCGATATAGAGGCATAAATTATTCATGCACAAGTGTGCGCGGAGAGTGGGGAAGTGTGAAACATAACGACAATATTGCCCGATCGCGATAAAGCATATTCCGAAAAGCATTAAATGTTTATCGTTTGTTTATCGACGCTGCGCGTCTTGTCTTGTTATGTAGTTGTCCGTCTAAATAATTGAACTTTACGAATAAGAGAAGCGCATCGGGAAATGATAAGCGGATAAAATGCGGATGTGGAAAAAGTGATACGAAAGGGAAGAGAGAAGAGTGTATTCGGTGTTTTTCGGTTTTGATCGATGGCGTGTTGCTTTCGACCGTTCGAGCTCTCTAATTACCTACGCGAAACTCAAAAACTCATTGTGGCAATCGTCGCGATCATGTCGCGATTATTCGACTCCAATATTTCGGTTTCAAATTCAGATCACAGTCAAAACTATGTACTTTACTCAAATGTACCGAATATCGCGTCACCGTAACATTTGCTACGCATTCCGTTAAATAACGAGTGTTCCGCTCGCGAACCATTAAAGTCGATTGAAACTCACGAACTTCGCGGAACAATTGCTGAAACATTGATTGACGCCTTTACGCAGAACGAAATGAACGTGATGATCTTAGGAAGGCGAAAAATCGAGCAACACACATTTGTCTACATTTAACTATATATCGATGAAATTCATTGCTGGAAAATTTCATCCCGACTCGTTCTCTTTGCTCCCGCGGCGATAGAAACTCTCTCACGCTCTGATGAGAATTTATTTTATTTTATTTTTTTTTTTTTTTTTTTGCGGAAAATACGCGAAAGTAAGAGATGACTCTCGCCAGCTGGCGAGCCGCGAATTTGCGCCGACCAAGTTTAGACGATTCGTCCGCGCCGAATCGTGACGCAAAGCGGTCAAAGTGCGGTGGCAAAAGTCACCGGGA